TATATATATATATATATATATATATATATATAATTTGGACTTTGGTGTGTAAACAAGCTGAACACTTGAATTTTAAGTGATTTATGAAAAATTTGGTCTCTCAAAGTGATTTATTTATTCAAATGATTCTAAATATTAAATGCTTGAACTTGACTTGTTTAAAAAAAATAAAGATTAAACTTGACTTGTTTAACTTATTTATAATTTTAATTAACTTTCATTTTATATAAATTTTCTCAAAATAATTTTTAACTTTATCAATCTAGTATTTAATATAAATATTTTAACATTAAATGATAATCTACAGATAAAAATATGTGCACACTACGTGTCATGCATGTTCAAATATTCTAGACTATTACATTTTTATAATCCAATAACTTCAGACAAAAAGAAAGTTCAAAATTGATTTTAGCACTCAACAAATTTCTACATGTTTTCATAATGAATATAAATAACAAATGATAATAAAATTCACACCATCAATTTAAATAAATAAGTTATTTATTAATTAGCGTTAATATCGAGTTTGTAAATCTTGGACTTGGCTACTTAAAATAATTAAATAAAATCAAGTTTGAGGGGTTTTTATTTAATTAAATGAACAACCTTAAACGAAGTTAAATTTAAATAGTACACAAATAACTTAGTAGATTTACACCTTTATATATAATAATGAAATGAAATTTTTGTGTCATCTATATCTGATTATAAAATTAATCTAATGTGTAAAAAAAAAGTCTTATCTAAAAAGCCATAGCACTCTTGAGTTAAAATATCATGTACTTCTTCTTCCATTCTAATTTATTTGATGTTGTAACGGTTCTAATTTATTTTAATTTGATTGTTGTTTTATAATATTAATGTAATATTAAATAATTTTTATTATGATTTTAACTATTATTAATGTATTATTTGATTAATGTATTATTTCCTTTTTCATCACTTATTTTATTAGTGAGATTTCTTCAAAATGTTTAAGGCTATTTTAGAAAGTTACATATATATTTTTTTTAGTAAAATCATACATAGTAATTGTAATTTTTAAATTTAGTTTCAAAATCTTAAATGTGAAACAAAATCGAGTAGAGGGAGAAATTAAGTTGTATATTCATTACAAAAAATATTATATATATATAGTGACATATAAAAAATATTACTATACATATAATAATATAAGTATATACTTATTTGACATATACATACACACAATTTTAGTATTGATTTTGAATGAGATTCAAAATATATTATGCTTTACTATAATTATTATACCTATACTTTTTAACAATACACTAATATATATTGTATTTAAGGATGGAATTAGAAGAAAAAAAAGTTATTATGGGGGCAAAAATTTTATGACATGATAAATAAAATTATCAATGATTAATAAAATATCAGTTTAATAAAAATAATGACTTAAATATATTTTTAATTCTTATAAAATGTGTGAGACCCCTTTTTTTTCTTTTCCTTTTCTCTCCCCGACACTCTCCTCTTACTCACTCTCCTTCCCACTTTTTCATTCTCTCTTTGCCTCCTTCATTGATTTCTACTTGCTGTCTCAAGGTGCTGATTCTTGAAGGTTTGGTGTTGCTGTGGTTGCGGACATTCTTCTATTCTCTTCCCCCGTGCAAGCTCATTTCATCTTCTTCTTGTTTCTCTCTTCCCGGAGCTCGGAATTCTTCGTACTAAGGTAAGGGAAGCTAGAGTCTCGCTGTGTTTGGCTGTAAATGAGTCTAGAAACTCATTTGTTGTGTGATGATTGATGGTTTTCGAGCTGAGATTGCTGAAGAATGGGGTTTTGGGGTTTTCGGGGTTTTGAAGAAATTTTGGGGTTTTTGATGATTTGTGTTTGCATGTTGGAAATGGGGCATTTTTATTGATGTTTGATGAAATAGGGAACTTTTGGATGGTTTGCATGTGGGTTTTCTGGCTATTTTTGCAGGATTTGGTTAAGTTTTTCGAAAATGGAGTATTGATGTTGAATCTCGCGCTGGGCGCTGTTCTTCGCGCCGGGCGCGTGACCACCAGGAGGCTCCATTTAGGCAAGCCCGCCGGGCGCACAGGCGTGTGCGCCGGGCGAGCTTGAGAATGGGAGCCTCTGGATGGCCCGCGCCGGGCGTGACCCCGACTGTGCCGGGCGCGATATCAGTTGTGCCATGTTTTGGGTTTTCTGGTGCTGCGCTGGGCGCCACCATTGTTGAGCTGGGCGCGAAGACTCCTTGGGAGTCTCTGCCAAGAGGGTGCTGGGTGCAATACGAATTGCGCCGGGCGCGAGACCTTGGTAGGTCTTTGCCTTCCCCACGCTGGGCGCGGGTTAGGCCACGCCGGGCACGTGAGACTCCTTAGAGTCTCTGCCTGGGCTTGCGCTGGGCGCAATTAATATTGCGCCAGGCGCATGAGAGCCTTGGGCTCTCTGGCTGGGTCACGCTGGGCACGAGTACCCTTGCGCCGGGCGTGCTGACCACTGGTGCTCTCTAGTTGTCCCACGCCGGGCGCGACCATGAGTGCGCCGGGCGCGTATGATGATGATTTATATATCAATAGTTGTTAAACCTTGCTGAATTTGTAGCTAGATGTTGTTTAATGCTGAGTTAAGCTGAAAATTGTCGTTAAGCTGAAATAGATGAATGTAGCTGTGCTGAGCTGGGCTGTTATTGATGATTTTAAATGCTGTATTACAAGATATTGCTGTGCTCTAGAATGATGAGCTGAGTTGTGAGTAGTAGGCTGTGTTGAATACTACTTAGCTGTGTTGTATGCTGATTTGT